GTTTCCTTTAAATATTTGTATCTGTTTTTTTAAGTTCGTTTTGTCTCATTTTTGTAGAATTCGACTTCAAACTTTAGATAAATTTTATTGTCCATCATCTTAGTTTTCAATTTTTTTGGCTTGACTGGTAACATGCGGAATCACGTTTAAAATTTTAGTTTTGTAAAATTTTTAGAAATAAAAATAAATTACGGAATGCTAAAAAAGTCAAAATCCGTAGATTTCCGTTTTGGCTGAGAAAAAAAAAAAAAACTCTCATTTCGCAAGTAAGTGAATATCCACTAGTTTATCCATGTAATTAATTAGTTTAATCAATTTTTTTTCTTTTTCACAAAATTTTTTTTCTTATCATACAACCTTAACCATAATTTAATTTCTCTAATTTAATATGACTAAAATCTAGATAGTTGAAGTGCATAATTTTAAAATAATGTTTTAATCAAATGATAACAAACAAAAATATATGAAGCTTTGTATTATGAATATTTTCTTTTCTTGTAATATTTAAAATATGTCATCTCCTTTTTTAATTAATTTTTCATATAAATTTATTTTAATTTATATTTTTAAATAGAATAATATTTAAGATATTGTAAAAAATTATTTTTATATACTTATATATGTTATTGTGTAAAATTTATCCAAACGTAAGATAGTAATATTTCACAACTTTTAATTCTGCGACATGTAAGTCGTCATTCCACAAACTTTTTTTTCTGCGATTCCACAGTTTTACAATGTTACCAATTGAAGGTAACTCTATTGGGTTTTGTATTTCAGCAAAAGAATAGCCGAGTTCGGCGGATAGTAATTCTTTGTTTAAAAATAAAGGGTGGTTCGGGCTATATATCTATATATAATAGCAAACCCAAAAAAAATGAATATTTTTGGGGTGTGACTTCTCAGTTTATATATAGTGGTTGTTTTTAAGGGTTGCATCTTTTTGAAAAGTTGTGTCTTTTCGTAAAAAAACCCATTTGGTGGTTATTTCTAAGAGTTGAATCTTCTCGATATAACCGTTTTGTCAAAAGTTGCGTCTTTCCGATATAACCGTTTGGTCAAGAATTGCGTTTTTTCGACATAACCGCTTTATGGTTTTTTTTAAGGGTTGCGTCTTTTCAAAACAAACCGTTTCGCCTATATATATACTACATCCGTTTCAAAATATAAGTTGTTTTGGAAGTTTTTTTATTTCAAAATATAAGTTGTTTGGACAATCTTATGTACTTTTAACTTTATTAAATACTGTGTGACCAATAATATTCTACAGTCTCTTT